ACTGGCTGACCTAAAAGCAGCACAGATGTCCGTAGATAGCCTTGCAGTGTGTGAATCTGGTCCGCAGTTAAACAAGGTCATTACTGTTTCCCTGTTGCCCTGCAGGTAATACTTGGCTACACAAGGAATACAAACTCAGATAAATTAGACTCGTGCAAGAATCATCGTACATGTCAAGAAAACATTATTGTCTACAACAAAACAGAAAATATCTACCAACTACTACAAAGGAATGCTGACGATTTCCGTTCGCTAATGTTTGTGCCAACGTGACGGCAGCCAAATTTATTCACTTTCACTAGTGCTCAGCATGTCCGGTACGCTTCTTCAAACTTTTTGCGCGGCAAAAATTATCAGCGAAAAAGGTACTGGAACCAACAAAACAACCCCATTCAATCCACGGGAGAAAGGACGAACGGAACACCTGAATGAGATCTGGATGACAGTTCTTTCGTCCAAATACAAGCATTTCCGTATATCTGTGCCAGAACGATTGACGACACCCTTCCTTTGACCCCCCCCCCTTTTATATGCACAGCCACAAAACAATTAATCGCACCCTTCTAGTTATGATCGAAAATCAACGTGAAAAATGCCTTCTGAGTTTTTTTTATTATTATTGCGATGAACAGCAGACGGAGTGAACCCCATGGTCACGAGGACCTGCTGTTCAGTGATGAAAGCCGGTAACCTAAGCCCCGGGACTTGGAGAGGTGAACCACACAAGGCCACGATAGGTTACGCACGGTATCGAACTAGACGACAGCAAAGCTGCCTAACACCAAAAATGGCTAAACAAGCCCTGCGCCTCACCACTGTAGTATACTAACCTCAAAGTGACACGTTGATGGGCTTCGGCAACGGAAGTTTTAGCTTTAGTTTTTACAACCATTAACCACCGACGGATACTAACTCGTTCCGTGGTTTGAAGTTTGCCCCAGGCTACAGTATCTGTGCAACCACCGAAAACACAGTAGAAGATTCACATCCGCATAAATGACACTTCCGCTACATGGACTCGCCGTTTATCCAAACCATTAACGCTTCTCTAGAAACAGCAAACATGCTTACATAAGCTGAGGAATACACGCACTTCAGCTACCCCTGAAATTCACATCTAAACACATTGAAGAAAATGTAATGGGATTATATTTTACCGATTTTCATCAAGCACTTCTTCATGATAATCGACGGAACCGTGAAATGATTGATAAAAGAGCATTGGACGGCTGTTTAGTCCCTGTTAAGACTCATCAGTAGTATACCAATTTGGTCCCCTTAATTTTGGTAACAAAAAAACGCCTCAGCCACAACATCCGCTGACCACCTGATTTTCTCCAACCTGAGGCAAAAGCCGCATATACGACGCGGTGCGAAAGCCGACTATTCGGCGTGCGCATTACGAGTCATAGTGAATGAAGCTTACACACCTTGCTTATGCGACGAACTTCCTACGGATTAACTCTCAAATACAGGGCAGTTTAGGTCGCTATTACTAATACGCTCATTCTACCTAACCTGCACAGAATTACGTGAATACGGACATGTTCCATGGATGTCTTTTATGCGTGACCTTAATACAAAGATTAAATATTGCCGGGGACGCCCGAGAAACCATCATTGGCTATTACGAAAACAGGATAGAGGTAGACTGTTGGTGTTCGCACACAGCTGTCTACGTCGCACTGCACGAGTTTGGCAGAGCTTTAGGTATCCGTAGTCGTTCACTAGAGTAAGTGGTCAACCTCCATAGATTACGCTGGTTGGGACGTGTTGCGCATATCGCCAAATAGGTTGCCGAGTTAAGTAGTGGATGGGAAAAGCGTGGTACGGGATAAGGGTTTGAAAATCTCAACCAGGGGAATCGGTCATATAGGTCACGTTAGCCTTCCTGGATGGGGACCCCAGATCCTGGCACCCGATGGGTAGAGACACTGGATGATGTAGCTCAGGGTTGTAGCGGCGCTGGTGAATCTTTTCATTATCATTGTGACCTTAGTCCATGTGGATTTCTATCTTCACTGTGACTCTACTCGCGACATTCCATTCTTGCTCCTTTTATCCAAATGGGCAGTCATAAGACCGCAACCAAAACCGGTGCACGACAGTACATGGTTAATGGTTTGAGCAGCACAATTTCAGGACGCAACTTCGTAAAACCACAAGCGTCAGCGGAGTTGGTGCGTGGTAGTGAGGTTCCTTATGAATTCAGTCAACATTCGATAGATGTGATTACAACCCAAAGGTTACTGTATCCGGCCAGCTCTTGGTTTCTTTGATAAGCTTAGAGACAGGCAACAGATCCTGTCCGACTGCTAAGATGTGTTGTCTTCACAAGCGATAAGCGCCCAGGAGTTCAGGCTTCGTTGATTGGCTTGATGGGGATGTGCTCAATGATGCCACGGGGCGAATTCGGGCCAAAAATGGTGACCCGAGAGTTGGAATATACCCCAAGGAACAAGACAGTCTACCATCGCGGAAGTGCTTTACATCTAACATCCATAAAGTTTCTCCTGCAGGTATTCTACCATAAAATTCGATCATATGCCTCCACTTTTTCATTACAACAGTGTACTAACCGCAATGCTTTACATTCATGAATTAAAGCGTTTGGGGCAAACATGATTGCTCCTCCAGAG